AAAAAGAGACGAATTTATATTTTATACAAAGGTGTTAACGATCAAAAAGATCTTGATGAAGAAGACGTAAATTTCATATGTTCATCATCAACTCAAACATATAAAACAGATTTCAATTTTTCAGAAAAAGAAGTCAGCCGAAACGGTAACTCTACAGGTAACCTAGCACTAAACGATGATCTACAATTTTGCATAACTTTGAGGAATTCAGGGTAAGAATGCTGAAGAACAAAAAGAATACATGAATGGCTATGACGAAGGTTATAAATCTGCTCTACTGGAGGTCTGATCCAAGCTAGGTAGTTTCTATCGAAGTGTGATAGGAATTTTTTCTGTTCTCAGAATCTTGGTGGTTCTAAAGAAAATATGGGATCGTCTAAGGCGTTGGAGAAGTTACGAAAAACGAAGAACATTGTAAGCTGGTTGCTTTCTTGCTGTGTATGCACGTACAGGTGGAGCAGTTAGGGCCTTGGTAGTCTTGCAATTTCTCAATAACTTTGTATGTCGTGCTTTTGAATACATATGTAAAGAACTTTGAATGCGTCTGCTATGTTTTACTTACAAATCAATTGTCCGCATAACAACTTTTCCACCAAGTCATCTCCATTCAATATTTTTTAAAGTAATTTGCTATGTACTCAGGGAAAAGGGAAATTATTCCAACGAGGGTTCACTGAAGGTTACAACAAGGCAACTGCATTGCTGAAATCCACCGATAAACTTGGTAAAGAATCCGGTGACTCGAAAGAGGGATCGAAAGATACTGCTGAGAAAGTGTCAAAAGAGAAGGTCGCGTCTAAAGAACGCCACAAAAGCCCGCAAAAAGGAAGTGGCAAGAAAAGGTCAAGAGAGAAGGCTAAGAAAGCGCATGGAAAACGAATATCAAGAGAAGGCATTAAAAAGGGACGATCCAAAGAGTTGCCAAAGCTGCCATCAAAAGAAGGTGCGAAGGCGCCGTCGAAGGAAAAAGCAAAAATCCGCTCCAAAGAAGAGCCGCTACGAGCAAAGGAGGAGTCGAAGGAACCGTCGAAAGAAGCTGCTATAAAACCTTCTAAAGAAAAGCCGTCTAAACAAGAAATACAGCGAAAAGGTCTGTTGAGGGGAGAGCCAATGTCAAGTTCATTAAAAACTGCAATCTTAATGGAGTCGTCGGAGGGAAGAAATGCAACAGCAAAAACTCCAGGTGGCACAGACCCATCGTTGGGAGATCCTCTTAAGAGAAAAGACATAGTTCATATTGGACCAAGTGGAAAGGTGCGACTGTTTCGATCTCTCTCATGTTTTCATTAATCTCCTAAACCGACCTAACGATTCTTCACATTAATCAATTGTATATTTTCTTGAACACTTTTTGAACTATTTCATTTTAGCGGCAATTCTTGATTATCATGTACCGCGATCAGAAGACTAATGAAATCCTCATTTCAAGAAGTGGAGACGAAGATGAGGATGATGATAACGGTTCCAAAACTTCTAGCTCAAAGCTACTACAAGAGTAGAGTTGATATAGGTTGTAGAAACTTCCT